GGCCTTCATGGCATGGGAGGGGCGAGAGCCCCTTCGAGATTGGATCTATCTCTCTGTTTCTCTCTGGTTCTTCGTTCTATTCTGGCTCTGTTTCACTGTTTCATATATATATATATATGGAGATCCGTAACTCCGATTGGCCTGAAGCCTTCGCCATGATTTTTTTTCCGAATATTAGCTTTCTTGCGGCAAAAGAAGAGCGTCAACCGCCTTACGGTGGGCTCACGAGGGTAGGGGGCGCGCCCTAGGGAGGGGCGCCCCCCCTGCCTCGTGACCACCTCGAGCACTAGTCTGCGTTGATTTTCCTTCCGAATTTTCCATATTTTCCAAAAATAAGCTCCGTCCGTTTTTGTCCCGTTTGGACTCCGTTTGATATGGATATTCTGCGAAACCAAAAACATGCAACAGACAGGAACTGGCACTGGGCACTGGATCAATATGTTAGTCCCAAAAATAATATAAAAAGTTGCCAAAAAGTATATGAAAGTTGAATAATATTGGCATGGAACAATCAAAAGTTATAGATACGACGGAGACGTATCATCCGGCGAGCGGGAGACGATGGAGCAGCGGACGGCGGGGCTGGCTGGCGGAGGTGCGGGCTTCCGGGCGGCGGGGACGGCACGGTTGTTGGCAGAGCGGCGAAGCAGCGCGCGTTGGCCGGAGGGCGGCGCAAGGCGGGAGCAGTGCGGCGTGGCTCATCGGAGTCCGGCGAGCTCCGGCGAGCGGGAGCGGGTGGCGGCGCGAACGGGCCCCGATGGGCTCGGGCGGGCTCCGCGCAGGCGTGGGCGGGCCGTGGCGGCGGGGAGGAGAGAGGGCGCGGGCGAGGTGGCGCGCTACGGTTGGTGGAGAGCGGCGGCGGGGTGACATGGCGTCCTCGGATTGGTCCGGGCGACGTGGATGCTGGACATGTCCGGCGCGGGAGGAAGAAACATCCGGCGAAGCGAGGGGAGTGGTTCTAGGGTTTGTACTGCGCGAAAAAGTCGGAGGGAAACACATATTTATAGCTAGGAGGAGGTAGGAGTATCCAAATGGAGTGCGGTTTTCGCCCACACGATCGTGATCGAATGGCCGAGAGGATGGAGGGGGTTTGGATGGGTTTGTGGGCTGACTCGGAGGGGTGTTGGACTGCAACACACACGAGGCCTATACGGTTTTCCCTGATTAACCGTTGAAGTATCAAACGGTCTCCAAATGGCACGAAACTTGACATGCGGTCTACCGGTGGTGTACCAAGACCGCTTGGCAAATCTTTGTCCATTCCGAGAAAGTTTAACACCCGCACACGAAAAGAGACAAAAGGGGACACCGGGGGACGTATGAGTGTCAGATTGAGAAACGGACAAAGGGGGAAATGCTCGGATGCATAAGACGAACACGTATGCAAATGCGATGCACATGATGACATGATATGAATGCATGACAAGAACAAAATGCAAAACGAAGACAAAACCCAACCACGAAGGGAAACTCATATCGCATCTCCGGAAAAGGCAAGAATCGGAGTACAAATATGAAAAGTTGTTTCCGGGGCATTACACACATCCCCTCCGCCGCCCTCCTCCGCCGTTGCCCTCCGCCCCCGTCGCCCTCGTCGCCTCCCCGCCGCCGCCGCCCGCCGCTGAATCGAGTGGTAACCGGCGCGGGATTCAGCCCCTCCAGCGGTCCGACTGCCGCGGTAGGCCTCCGCCGGGTCTTTTAGGCTGCCGCCGACCTCCTCCCGTCGGCCGTGACCCTGTCCACGGCCGTTGCGCCGTCCGCACAACCATCTCCCCGCCGCCCGGTTGCCGAACTAGTCTTCGCCGCCCGCCGAGCTCCTCTTGGCCGTCCTCCAACCTCATTTCTTATCACCGCCGCCGTCCGGAGCCGACCACAGCCGTCCGGAGCCGACCGCAGCCGTCAGCAGCAGCCAATCCAACCGGCGGCCATCTTCTTCCACCGCGCGCACAAGGTGTTCGACGAAATTCCCCACCGTTGCTGGACAGCGGCTGAACAGCAGCCGGGCGGCTGTTGGCCGGTTTTGAACCATGAATTTGGACCATCTATTGGAGTTATTTTTTTGGACCATGAATTTGGACCATTTGTTGGAGTTGACTTTTTTTTAAGCTCTAAAACATACTTTCTGACTGTCCAAAATTACATCTCCAGTTTTGAACAGCCATAATTTGAACCATCTATTGAAGATGCTGCGCACTCGGCCGCCAATCGAAAATGTTTCTTTTCGCGGCCACACCCTGCTGTTACATTTTGGCGGGGAAAATCTGTCGAACTCGAACCCTAACCAGGCGGCGCCATGAACAAGTTCCTCGTCGCGGCGCCGCCTTCCGCCGACGAGGGCCCCGAAGCGCCACGACCACCGCCTCGGACCCCCCCCCCCCTCCTGTTCCG